CTTAGAAACAGCTGAATTTTTCCTTACAGTTTTTTCCTCTCAGAACCCTCTAAAAGTCACTGTGTTTGTGTTCTCTGAAGGTGGGGAAGAAAGAACAGACTTTGCATTCATCCTAGACAAAACCCAAGAAACAGGCTAGATGTGGTTCAGAAAGGGCAATGGCTCCCTCACTGAAAGTAGCCAGGTTCGACCCATAACCGTTACCGAAGGTTGATGTCGCCACCAAAGTGATGGCAACACCAACCTTTGGTAACGGTATTGAATAAGACTTTTCGCAAACACTGAGGAATTGTGAATAGTAATAGACTTAATTCATGTAGGGGTTAAACCATGACCTGTAGATCAAATCTAAATGGGGCTCCCCTTGAAAAGCGCCCGGAGGCTCCAACTGATCCAGAATGTATTTGCGCGGGTGATTATGGGCGCAGCTCGTTGCGCCCATGTAACACCTCTCCTACGCGAGCTGCACTGGCTCCCAATGGTCTTCCGGGTGCGATTCAAGGTGTTAGTTATCACCTTTAAAGCGCTCCATGGCTTAGGACCTGGGTACCTACGAGACCGTCTTTTGCCACCAATAGCCTCCCACCGACCAGTTCGTTCTCACAGGGAGGGACTACTCAGGGTACCGTCAGTCAAATTATGTCGACTGGCGACTCCCAGGGGGAGGACCTTCTCTGTGGGGGCTCCAACCCTTTGGAATGAACTGCCCCCTGAGACGAAATATCCCTGATCTCCGTGCTTTCCCCCGGTGCCCTCAAAACCCTGATGTTCCAACAGGCGGGGCTAAACATATGAACATGTGAATGTTTTAAAAATGTTATCTAATTTTAGGTTCTATTTAATTGGGCCAAACTATGTTATAATAATAATTTTAATTAGCAATTGTATGATGTTTGTGTATCTATATTTTTCTTGACTGTACACTGCCTTGAGCCCTACGGGAGAAAGGCGGTATAGAAATATAATAAATAAATAAATAAATCATAAATCATAATGGTCTGATTCACAAATCACACTAAGCCACAATGGGCAAGTTCACATGCCAAGCTAAGGGTAAAGTGGAAAATAAAAAAACCTAGCTAATAAGATATAGCTTCTTAGATTTGATTGCAGAAGCAGAACGTACCAACCACAGTAGGAAAGCCCAAAATTTGACAATTTACACAATGCCATGAGTTGGTTTGATTTCAGCTCAGGTCACCATGGATTATAAATTAAGGTTTCAGGTATTAGGGAATGTGTGGATCTAGGGTAGTGTTTTTCAAACTTCACAAGTTGAAAATGTATGGACGTCAACTCTCAGAATTCCCCTGGCTGGGAAATTCTGGGAGTTGAAGTCCACACATCTTCAAGTGGCCAATGTTGAGAAATGCTGATTTTAAGGAAACGTGAATTTGATCATAATCTATTAATAAACTAATCTTTGAACTGCAATATACCCCAACATCAGTGGCAAAAGGGTCCATCCAGCTGGGGTTATTCAACCTCCTTCTTGAATGGACCCAAATAAGATGAGTTTGGGCACATGACTAAGCCAAGAGAAATGGGCTATACAACAGGTTAGTATGATGAGCAACCCAAATATCTGAAGTAATTTTAGGAGCCTGAGTTTCCTCTTAGGAAGGATGAATAGGCACCCACTTTCCTGCAGTCCCTGAAGAGTTGGAAACAAACCTCTCTGAGGTTGCCACGTCTTCCACGTCATTTCTCCTTGATCTTCAAGACATTCCTGAGAATTGAAATATACCCACAACCAAAATGCCCAGTTTCCATGCTAGGCAAAAAAATTAAAAAGTGCAAATTCTTTCTTATATGCAATATTTCTATAATTGCAGCTGGAGAAAGTTTGAGGACAATGAATCTTAACTGCAAACAAAATTAGAGCACAGCCACACCCCCAGCCTCAAAGCCTTTAAACCACAAGTATTCAATTTTTTTTTCATCCCTCAAGCATTAATTGGGGGAGTGGGGGGAAGGAGAGAGAGAGAGAGAGAGACTTCAAGCTGAGTTAGTCAAAAAATGCAAGGCTCTTTCTTTGTCCTAATGAATACTCAAGCTAACACAAATGGTCATAATTTTATAGGAACCCCAGCACCCACAGAAACATAACACATTCATCATTGTAACTATCAGTGCTTGCCTCGGGAATGGAATTAAAGTCACATGAATAAAACAAACAAACCAGAGTTGGTATGCCTTTCAGTTTAAGACCAGACACACATATCTCAAAACACAAGCACAAATCCTTCAATGCCAAACTTCCCAGAAGCAGAATTTTTTTAATTCTTGCATAGCCCTTTCAAGGGAAGGACAAGAAGCTGATTAAAAGGCAGCCTTTACAGAGGATCACTTCTTCTCTTCAAAGCATTTCTTCCAAGGCTTTCCCTGCTCCCTCCGAACTTTAGAACAGAAGCTGTGCCCTGGCCACGGATGGGACCCGTGACCCATTTAGCTGAGCCGCCTGTTCTCCCAGGAACCGATCGCGTTCCTAAGGAAGCCCACCTGTCTCTCAGCAGATGGGCTCTGGAGAACAGAGAAGGAGAAAGCAATAACAGAACGTAAGTGGGTTACTGGATAGGACCCTGGCCCATCTAACCTCACTGCCTGTACCCCTGGTGGCCAACAAAAGGAAGCTCAGGTGTCTCCCAGAAGATTGCCTTCAGAGGAAAAGAAGGAAGAACATAAGCGGTATACAGCTGGATTAGGCCACTGGTCCATCTAGTCCAGGGGTGTCGAACTCAAGGCCCGGGGGCCAGATCCGGCCCACAGGATGCTTAGATCTGGGGACACCCTGAAAACAACGGAGGACTGATCCACAGTGCCTCTGCCAGAGAAAATAAGAGTTTGGGAGGGCTATCTGCGGTCCTCCCCAGCTCCATTTTCATTGGCAGGAGGCTGGTGCAGCAGTTGGGCCACCACAGGCACCCCCAACACGAGTGACGTTGAGCTGGCCATGATCACCATGCCAGCCCCCCCCCCCAAGGTCAAACACAACCCTGATGTGGCTCTCAATGAAACCGAGTTTGACACTCCTGATCTAGTCCAATGTCTGTCCCAAAGGTGCTTTTCCAAGGTGACAACTGAACTTTCTTTTGTTGACGTTTCGCTTCTAATCCAAGAAGCTTCTTTTTCAGTGCAGTCCAATCTTCAGAAATGTCTTCAAGGGAAACAAAACAAAAGAAAGTCCAGTTGCCTTTTTTGGGAAAAGCACCTTTGGGACAACCAACGACCTGGATGGCGGAGAACCTCCACAGCCATTTAGTCCAATATCTCTTCTCTCAGGAGCCCCATCGACTGCCCAAGGGAGCCCACCCAGTGTCCCAGCAGATAAAGACTTCAGCCCCTCCTGCCATCAAGGCTACTATATCCCCTTACCCCAGGGTTCCCCCCTCTGCAAGGAGAGAAGCAACCTAGGAATAAGGAGAAAGTTCCTAACCGTGAGAGGACAATTAACCAGTGGGGAAGGCTTTGCCTAAAGAAGCTGTGATTGCTCCATGGCTGGAGGTTTTTAAGAAGAGACTGGACAGTCACTTGTCTCGAATTGCAGAGGGCAGGGGTCAGCAACCTGCGGCTCTGGAGCCGCATGTGGCTCTTTTCACCCCTCTGCTGCGGCTCCCTGTCACTCAAAATATGCGTCACAACCGCCAATGTGCAACACCCGCCGGCACGTGATTTATTGAGCTTTTTCAACCCCCGGTAGGCCGATCATGGATAAATCCAAGAAAAGAAAAGTTTCAGAAGAAAAAACAGGACGTTTCATTCAACTACCTAGGCTAAGTTTTGTGGCTGCTTCAAGAAATAGTCAGGCATGGGAAACATTTTGTGGCTCCCGGTGTTTTCTTTTCTGTGGGAAAACGGGTCCAAATGGCTCTTTTGAGTGTTTAAGGTTGGAGTTAAGGTTGCTTAAGAAGGGGGGGTTGGACTAGAAAAGGGGTGGACGAATGTGGCTCTTTTACAACCTGTGGACTTCAACTCCCAGAATTCCCTGAGACAGCCAAGCTATCTCAGGAATTCTGGGAGTTGAAGTCCACAGGTTGTAAAAGAGCTACATTTGCCCACTCCTGGACTAGAACAAGGGTTCTCCAACCTTGGCCAGTTTAAGCCTGGAGGACTTCAACTCCGAGAATTCCCCAGCCAGCTCGGCTGTCTCAGGAATTCTGGGAGTTGAAGTCCACAGGTTGTAAAAGAGCTACATTCTCCCACCCCTGGACTAGAACAAGAGTTCTCCAACCTTGGCCAGTTTAAGCCTGGAGGACTTCAACTCCCAGAATTCCCCAGCCAGCTCGCTGTCTCAGGAATTCTGGGAGTTGAAGTCCACAGGTTGTAAAAGAGCTACATTCTCCCACCCCTGGACTAGAACAAGAGTTCTCCAACCTTGGCCAGTTTAAGCCTGGAGGACTTCAACTCCCAGAATTCCCGAGCTGGCTGGGGAATTCTGGGAGTTGAAGTCCTCCAGGCTTAAACTGGCCAAGGTTGGAGAACCCTTGTTCTAGAAGACCTCCAAGATCCCTTCCAGCTCTATTTGACCCTTTCCCAGGACCAAATTTGACCCTTTCCAAAGGTAGCAATCCGTACACCCTGCCCTCCCAAAGGCAGCCCCTCCCCACCCCCCACCCCCAAGCACAGGAGACCAGCGAGGTCACCTTGGCTCCACCGAGGGTTCGATGCCAACCACAGACCCACCCACTCACCCACTTGACTCTGCCAAGAGCCGTAGCCCACTCCCACCAAGGACACGCAACCTCCGACCTGGCACAATGGGGAAAAGCCTTCTCTTCTCTGCAACCCCCCCCTTATTGGGAGGGAGGGAGGGGGGGCTGCATGGGGCTGTCCCTCTTTTGCACCCAGGGCATGCAGGGGGATGGGCAGAAGGAAGCCCCCTCCCCATAAATCCAGGGACCCCCCCCCCACCTTCCAACCGCCCTGCGCAAAGCCGTCCTTCCCGGGCACCGGGCACGCACGCCCCCTTCTGCCCACCCGCCGGGCCTAGCCAGGCTCACCGATCACCTCCTCCAGCTCGTAATCATCCCTGTCGATGGACCAGGGCAGCGAGCCTGAATCCTCCGCGGCCATAGCAGCGAAGCAGAAGGAGAAGCCGCCGCCTCAGCCGCCTCGCAAAGAGACCCAAACTTCGCCCGGTTTGGCTTCCCACCTGCCTTTTGCCCCCCCCCCGGGGCGGTGACGTCACGCGCACGGCGCGCGGGGCGGGGCCTCCGCGGCCGCCATCTTGAGCGGGTCGCCGGATCGGCGCCTCCCTGCAAGCTCAGCCTTTTCCCCCCCCCTCTTCTCCTCGATGCTTTTTTTTTTTTCCCCTCCTTTCCTTTCCCCTCCCTTCCTTTCACGCCCCTCCTCCTGAACTTTCCACGCTGGAAAGAGGGAGAGCGGCCAAGAGTGACGCCACCCACAAGATGGCGCCTGCGCCTTGGTCTGCGCCCGAAGCTCCTCCTCCTCTCCCCCTCCCTTGCGGTGGTGGAGGGGGGGGGGGCACCGACGGTGGGCGGGGATTGGGGGGAGGAAAAAAAAAAAAGAGGCTGCCTCGGTTATTGGCTGGGGCGGCTGTCAATAATGCTCTAACTTTCCTGCATGGGGGATGGGCGGGATGAACTGTTGAGGAATAGAAGTAGTCCTCGCATTTGCGGCGGCTCATTTAGTGACCGTTTGAAAACGGCCGTTTTTTTTCACACTTTTTATTTATTTACTTATTTATTTTTAAATTTGTATACCGCCCTTCTCCCTGAGGACTCAGGGCGGTGAACAGCCAAGTAAAAGCATACAAACATTAAAATACAATTAAATACAATTATTAGTGCAAATCACGTGATTTGCATTCAGATGCTGGGCAATTGACTGGCGTTTAGGACGGTTGCCCTGTTCAGGAGTCATTTCTCCACCTTTTGACAAGCAAAAGGAACCCAAGTTCGCTTAACGACCGCATGACTCATTTAACAACTGCCGTGATTCCCTTAAGAAATTTGGCAAGATAGATAAAGATGTATTTATTTATTTATTATTAATTCAATTTATATACCGCCCTTCTCTCCGGGGGGGGGGGGGACTCAGGGCAGTGGACAGCCAAACTTAAAACACATATAGTACAAAAGTTAAGAAAAAACTAAAATAAATTAAATCATCGGCATTTCCAATTTAAAATCCCAGATCTGCAAAATCGAAAAGTTCCCAATTTAAAATCCCAGAATCAATAAAATCGAAAATTTAAGAACCCCATTAAAACCATTTTAAGCTAGGCCAGCTTGTTGGAATAAATAAGTCTTCAGGGCCTTTCGGAAAGCGCGGAGGTCCAGGATCAGTCGTATTCCAGGAGGTAGCTCATTCCACAGGTTGGGTGCCCCCACAGAGAAGGCTTTCCCCCTGGAGATATTTAGAAGTAGAATTTGTGTAAAGAGGTTAAATAGGCCGTGATGGCGAACCTATGGCATGCGTGCCACAGGTGGCACGCGGAACCATATCTGTGGGCACATGAGCATTGCCCTAGCTCAACTCCAGTGTGCGTGTGTGCATGCACGCGCTGGCCAGCTGATTTTCGGGCCTTCCGGGCCCATCAGATGTTGGGAAATGGGCCGTTTCCAGCCTCCAGAGGGCCTCTGGGGGGGGGTAGGGGAGGCTGTTTTCACCCTCCCCAGGCTCCAAGAAAGCCTCTGGAGCCTGGGGAGGACAAAAAACAGGCCTACTGGGCCCATCAGCAACCTTTTTGCCGTCGCATGCCAAAAGTGCATGCATGGGGGATGGGGCATGGGAGGCATTGAATTATGGGTGTGGGCATGGACACGCGCGAACCCCCCCTGCACTCCCCCGCTTTTGGCACATGACAGCAAAAAGGTTAGCCATCCCTGTGCTAGAGATACCGATGCAGAAAAGTTATTAGTATTGAAATTTTGATATGTTTGTTTTTGGTTATTTATATTATTTGTTTTTGTTTTGTGTGTGTGTGTTTCTTGCTTCTTCTGTGTATTATGTTCCTTTCTGTACTGTGTATTTTAGTCTTTGGAAATTTAATAAATATTATTTTTTATAAAAGAAAATAAATGCGGCAAGAAAAATCGTAAAATGGGACAAATTCACTTAAAAAGTTTTTTAATTAACAACATAAATTTTGGGCTCATTTGGGGGTCATACCTGAGGACTACCTGTAAATTATAGTACTAACTAGAAAGTCCTGGATTTACGGTCACAACAAAGCCCAAAATTGCCATTGTTATACCGTCTGTTAAGTAAATTAGATAAATTTTGCTTCATTCTTGCCGCAATTGTTAAGCGAATCACTGGAGTTGTTAAGTTAGTCACACAGTTGTTAGGTGAACCTGATTTCCCTATTGATTTTTCTTATCAGAGGTTGCAAAAAAGGATCACATGACCCTGAGACACTGCAACCATCATAAATATATAACAGTTGCCATGCATTTAATCCCATGACCATGGGGAAGCTGCACTCGTCATAAGTGTGAAAAAAACGGTCATGTCACTTTTATTTTTAGTGCCCTTGTAACTTCGATCATTAAATGAATAGTTGTAAGTCTATCTTGTGCTGTAATTTGGCTTCTTTTAGGCTGCTTAGGCTGCTAGGAAAAAAGGAGAGTCTAGGGGAAAAAATTCAAAGTATGTCTGCATGTCCTAATTGATCTCTCAAATTTACATTCTGCACCTCTTCATCATTTTTGAGCCAAGGACCCCTAACATGCATGAAGTATCTTTCTCCTACACTGGATAGTTGTTCAAAAGAAACAGTTGAAATAATAGATGCCTTCTTTATGAGTGGAAATATGCCCCCTTACCCTCTCTACCCGCCAAGATATCTCTGGGCTAGGGGGTCTCCAACCTTGGCAACTTTAAGACTTGTGGACTTCAACTCCCAGAGTCTTAAAGTTGCCAAGGTTGGAGACTCCTGCTCTGGGTAATTGAAGAAACAGCCTTTCTGTTCTGCAGAATTTGGATTTTAAAAAGTTGATTAGAGCTTAATATCTTTCTGGATGTGAGGAACAACCCAACAGGAAGGTGGGTAAAGAATATCTAACAAGGGGATATCAAACAAGCTAGAAGTCGCCTGGAAGAAAAAGCCAACGTTGTATGAAAAAGCTGCTGAAAGCACAGAGTATCTTGAGCTTTGAAGAAAAGAAGACCACAAGGAGACAGAATTGCTGCTTTCAACAGGACTGCAAAAACCGCGAGGCAAAAGACAGAGCTGTTTTATTCCAAGTCGACAAGACAAGACATGGTGCATTAAAACAAGAGTTGGGAATGATGGTCCCCTTTGTGACTTGTGGACTTTAACTTCCAGAATTGCTCCCATGGCTGGCTCGGGAATTCTGGGAATTGAAGTCTACAAGTCATAAAGGGGGCTGTAGGAAGAAATATCCTTCTGGGTTCTGCTCCAAGTGGGGAAAAAGACACTGGAAACATGGAGACTGTTTGGAAAGATGGTTTAATGGTGGACAGGATCACATGGTTTGAGTTCCTGAACAGAAAAGGGACAAGATACAGCGAGTCCCCGGGTTTTATGCCCACTCTAGCTTTGAACTTTCTGGGGCCCAGAAAGAGTATCCTGATTGGTTGTCAGACTCCAGGGGGTGGGGGTCTTAGCTAGCCTTGCTGACTGATGTAATCTTCCCAGGTGCCATGTGGTGAGTTTCTGTCCTAGATGGGTCACATTGTGCTAGTTTCTGTTGCTATTGTGTTGCAGATGGGTCCTATTGTCAAAGATTGAGTTTCTGCCTCTGGCCCATTAACAAAGGGGGGGGAGGCCGGAAAGTGGGAGTTGCTTTGTCTTTAAAACAGGTTTCTCCATTTCTCAACCAGGGAAACATAATATTCTGCCTTTTTAATATTTCCTAAAATATTTCATTCTTCCAGGAAAGGGGTGGATGGTAACTTCCTACAGGGCCGTCGTTCCCACTCCTGTATTAAAATGATATGGAAGCAGATCTGGGACACCACGCAAATTCAATGACAGTTCTTCATGACTGAATGGGCAGCCATCCCTCATGCACACTACAGTAATGGATTCTTGTACAGGGCAGGCGGTTGGTCTAGATGACCTCAAGATTCCCCTTGCTACCTTTACATTCTATAATAGAGCTGTACATTCGCCCTTGGAGTTGAATGGCAGGAAGGTGATGGAAACCATCAGCCCTAAAAAAATGGCATGTGCAAATGTAAAAAAGTTGAATCCAGTTTGAGAGTGAAGAGGCCACCTGTTATTCAGAAGGGGGCAAATATTTTCTCTTGACCTCAAGAGCCCCAAAGGCGAATTTCTTTTCTCTTTCAGGGGCTCTGCTGGTCAGGCAAGTGTAGCTGGAAAGACCAGCTGAGGTACCTGACAAGCCAGCTGTGGTGAGCTATTGTTGGTCAGAAGCAAACATTGTTGTCTGTCTTACTTTTCTTCTGCATGGAGTTTCTGAGCCAATTAAAGTCAAGAAATCCACCAATCTTGACAGCGCGTAAATTGATGGCCGATCATCAGAACACCACACAAAAGTGGATGGAGGCGTGGAATAGCTGTTCCCCCCAAGATGCCTCCGAGCATATCAGCCCTAGTAGTAGACCTCCAGGATTTAGCCTACCCCGACACATATGGGTGACATATAATAGAATTAGAACAACTCATGGGGTGTGTGCTGACTCCCTGTATAAATGGGGAAAGACACCTTCAGCACAATGTGATTGCGGGGCCCCTCGACAGACTATCCAGCACATAGTGAGGGAATGCCCTAACAGAAGGTATCCAGGAGATTCTAGGGACTTCCTTTGCATAATAATGGCAGCTACTGACTGGATCTCCAAACTCGACATTAAACTTTGAAATGTTATTTCTGTTTTCCTTTTAGGTTTTCATACTGCTTTTTTATTGTTTTAATTGTTTTTAACCTGTAAAAATGAAGTGTTTTAATATTGTGTGTGACCAACCATACGCTAAATAAATAAATAAATCTGAGCCATTGTGTGCGTGATGGAAAGCCAATCCAGGAAAGTTAAAAAAAATAAAATAATCCCAAACCTGCCCAGAAGACTAAATATAGATAATCCTTGACTTAAAACCATTCATTTACAGGTAATTCTCAACTTGCAAACACAATTGAGCTCAAAATTTCTGTTGCTATGTGAGAAATTTGTTGATCGAGTTTTGGCCCATTTTAAAACTTTTCTCGTCACATTTGTTAAGTGAATCACTGCAGTTGTTAAATTAGTCACACCGTTGTTAAAGTGAATCTGGCTTCCCCCATTGATTTTGCTTGTCAGAAGGCCGCAAAAGGGGGTCAGATGACCCTGGGACACTGCAACTGTCATAAATGTGAGTCAGTTGTCAAGTGTCTAAATCATGCGACCATGGGGATGCTGCAATGGTCATAAGGGTGAAAAATGGTCCTAACTCATTTTTTTCAATGACGTTGTGACTTTGAATGGCCACCAAATGAACTGTTGTAAGTCGAGGACTACCTGTAGAGACCATCTGAAGTTATAATAGCACTGAAAAAAGTGATTGCACACATTTTTCACACAACCATGGTAGCATCCCCATGGTCATATGGTCCAAATTCAGACTCTTGGCAACTGCTTCATAGTTATGACGGTTGCGGTGTCCTGGGCTCATGTGATCAACTTTTGCGACCTTCTGACAAGCAATGCCAATGAGGAAGCCAGATTTATTTAACAACGGTGTTACTAATTTAACAACTGCAGTGATTCACTTAACAAATGTGAGAAAAGTTGTAAAATAAGACAAAACTCACTTAACAAATATCTCTTTAAGAACAGAAATTTTGGGCTCAATTATGGTCATAAATTGAGGACTACCTTATTCTGTGATTAACACGGTTAACACTGCAAGAGGATCTTCTTGAAGATCTCTTCTTAATTTCTATCCCTAAGTATTGCAAAAATACATTTCCCCCCTACATTTCTCAGGCTCATCCTCTTGATGTGGCTTCAATCCACAAACGTTCCAAAACAGAAGCCAAAATGAAACCTCAGCTGTTTCTTGCAGCCATTTAATGTTAATGAGATGGATACATTGACTTCTTTGATTAGAGTAAAGATATTAGCTACATTTATTGGTGAGCAGAAACCCATTTGGACTTTTTGCTTAAATGTGGATTATTATTTTTTGAGAGTTGTGGCTTTAAGGATGAGATAGATTACAGAAAGAAGAGAGTTACTATGTATCTTCAGAGAGTTAATATATAGTATTCTATGTTTCTTCAACATTTTTCCTTTTTTGCACTTTTTGCTTTCTTTTTGCTTTTTTTTTAAAAAAAAATTATTTTAGTATTAGTGTTCTTTCTTAAAAGTTTCAATACAAATTGAGTATATGTGACAGTTTGAAGTTACAACAGATCTCTCCAGACTTACTTAACGATCTATTTTTGGATTAAAGTTACACCCAATCCAGGTCACGTGATTGTATTTTGGGTACTTGGCAACTGCCTTTTACTTTACAGCTGTTTGCAGCCTCTGGCAGTCACATGACCTCAATTTGAATTTTATTTTATTTTTTGCCAGTTTCTGACATTTACTTTCTGGTTCTAGCACAACTCAATCGTTGGGAGAAAATGGACTCACTTAACGATTGTGCCATTCACAGAACAGCAGCAAAAAAATATGCAATTAGGCCAGGTCCTGTGATGCCTTGGCTTACAACCAAAATGACTTTCCACTAATTCTCCGTTCAATTACGGTTGTTAAGTCAAGGACCACTTGCAATGCAATGCAATGCCTTTTGAGCCAATAGTGCAGAGGTCTTCAAATTTGACAGCTTTAAGACTTGTGGACTTCAGCTCCCAGAATTCTCCAGCCAGCATTCTGGGAGTTGAAGTCCACAATTTTAAAGCTGCCAAGTTTGAAGACCTCTGCAATAGTGCCTTCCAAGTTTTCTTGGTGGGTACCATTTTTCTGTTCCCTGTCCTCTGAGCTTTTCTCATCTCTATCAAAGCAGCCCCTCCACCTTCCATTCTGTGCAGCATTGCCTGTTTTTAGCAGTATTTTTCTGCAAGGGTGCATCCCAAAGATTTTGAGGGTATGTCAGCAACAGATCTGGACAAAGAGATAGGAAGGGCAAATAACTCCATTTGGCTCAGTTGCTACGAACTGAGAAAAACACACATTGCCAGTGTGTTGGCAAAACCCACCCTCTCAAACAGAATCAAGGTTTGTGGAGTAAATTTGGAAGGACTCTTATAGGCTGTTTCAGACCAGCATATTTCATTTTTTTAAAAAGCTTCTGCTTTTCAACAAACTTTATTAGGCAGAAGAAGGGCTTCCAGATGTCTTCTGAATTTTGGCTATTGTAAACTAACACGAGGGGGACAATGGTGGCTCAATGGCTAAGATGCTGAGCTTGTCGATCGAAAGGTCGGCAATTCAGCAGTTCAAATCCCTAGTGCTGCGTAACGGGGTGAGCTCCCGTTACTTGTCCCAGCTTCTGCCAACCTAGCAGTTCGAAAGCAGGTAAAAAATGCAAGTAGATAAATAGGGACCATCTTTGGTGGGAAGGTACCAGTGTTCCATGCGCCTTTGGCGTTGAGTCATGCCGGCCACATGACCACGGAGACGTCTTCGGACAGCGCTGACGCTTCGGCTTTGAAATGGAGATGAACACCGCCCCCTAGAGTCGGGAACGACTAGCTCATATGTGCAAGGGGAACCTTTACCTTTAAACTAACACAGCTCTCTAACATTTTTATGAATTCTGGAAATTAAGACTGATAAGGAATGGCTAAAAGAGGTGGGCATGGTTTGTCTTCAGGAAAAATGGCAGATGGCAGAAAGGTAAGAATATTCTCCAAATATCTGAAGAAGTGGACTTATTCTCTGCTAATCCAAAGAATAAGACCAGAACTAATGGGCTAAAATTACAAGGAAAGAGGAGGCAGGAAGAATATCTTCACCGTTCAGATTGTTGGCCAGTGGAACTGGCTGCTACTTGAGTTACAAGAGCTACAAGAGCATTGCCGATAAAAGAGAAAACAGGAGAAATCAAATGTAGAAAAGGAACAGAATAAGTTGAGAAACATCCTGGAAGAGATGAAAGAAAAGCGGTTCCATATTGTAGCAAGAAAATGGGAGCTCCATAAAATTAACAATTTAAGCTTGGTTGAAAAGAAAAGCAGACTCAGGTCAATCGCATAAAATATATGACTAATCAATGTGTGGAAGAAATTGAGGAAGTAAATATTGCTTTTATACGATGGGTTGTTAGCTATCAGGGCAGGGCATGAGACAAGCAGTTCTTTTCGTCGTTTACAGAAAACACAGATGGGGATTTTTATATCTGAGCAAGCTTGGCTCAATAATTAGACTCAACAACATGTCAGGGTAGTCAATACTTAAATATAATTATTAAAAAGATTTTTCTATCCCAAATGTGCTCAGAACATTGTTCAACAGCCAAAAAACACCATTTTAAAAAGAACCCCAGAAAATTGAAACAGTAAACATGGAAAATACACAGAACAAAGAGTTTACAAATGCAATTTTGATCTTGGTCCAGATTTATAAGGAAGTTGAACAAACAGAATCTTCCCATTTGCAAGTGTTTTTTTTTTTTTTTAAGAACAGATAAGCATTATCACGAAATAAGTTGGTTGAAATTTTATGAAGTTAACAGAAAAACAGAGAAGGGAAGGGACCTCGGAGGTCTTCTAGTCCAACCCCCTGCTCAGGCAGGAAACTCTGTACCATTTCAAATGGTTGATCCAATCTCTTCTTAAAAACTTCCAGTGCTGGAACATCTAAAACTTCTGGAGGCAAGATATGAAACATCCTTTGGAGAAATGCAAATGGCGAATTTAGATGTCGTATTTCCAATCTATTTCATTACAAATGTTGTTGTTGTTTTAAAAAAAAACAAAACACCACTCCCTTTTCTTTTGCAAATGGCTTTTCTTTCTCATTTTCAGGCAACCTGTCCTGAATTTGAAGGGAAGATTTTGAAATCTTTTACATTTACATAACCAAATGTGCCTTACAGGTAGTCCTCAGCTGACAACCATTTGTTTTAGTGTCCATTCAAAGCCACAAAGGCACTGAAAAGAGTGACTTATGACCAGTCCTTGCACTTACAACTCTCACAGTATCCGCATCATCACATGATCCAATTCAAGTGCTTGGCAACCAATAAGTATTTATGATGGCTGCAACATCCAGGGCTCATGTAATTGCCAATTGTGACCTTCCCAGCCAGATTCCAATAATAACAGAATAACAGAGTTGGAAGGGACCTTGGAGGTCTTCTAGTCTAACCCCCTGCTCAGGCAGGAAACCCTATACCATTTCAGGCAAACGGTTGTCCAATCTCTTCTGAAAAACTTCCAATGTTGGAGCACCAACTACTTCTGGAGGGAAGCTGTTCCACCAAAAAGGAAAATTAATGGGGAAAACTGTATTTGCTTAAAGACCAGATGATTTACTTAATAAGTGCTGTGATTTGCTTTACAAACATGGCCAAAAAGATCCTACAATCAGGTGCAACCCACTGCCTTGGTTAGCAATGGAAATTCTGATCCCAATTGTGGTTGTAAATCAAGGACTACCTGTATAGCAATATTAGTTTCCACAACACACAGTAAAATACAAAAATTTGTTTCCAACACATGATAATCCAAACATAAATAAATCCAGATTCTCAGTAAACCTAGGTTAATTATTACCCTGTATTGGCACATTGTTTGTGACCATCCTTGAATTTAAAGTGAAAAAATACCCCACCCCCCACAAATCATCAGTTTCTCATTTACCCAGTTTTATATTCATTTTAAATTCCCGTTTGCAACATCCCTGTACACTTTTGTTTAAAATCAACATTAAAAAATTGTATGCACTTTAAGTGACTGTAAGATAAATAGTCTTTTGTTAATGTCTTTTTTTTTTTGTTATTTCCAGCAATATAGACGTTTTTTGCTCAGTTTCTTTCAGAAAGTGCTAATTTCAAAGTACAGTTTCTCTGTTTTGAATCTTACTGCGGACAGCATGATTAGATCTGCCTTCATTCGAATCAGATTAAATCTCCACTTCCCCCTACTCTCTGGCAAAAAAAAAAAAAGGGGGGGGGGGAAACCAATCCAAAACAATTGAGAACTGGATTACTTTAAACATCTGTAATCAACTACAAATCAAACTGAGGGAGAACAACCCCCAATAATAAGAAACTTCTTCTTTCTTTCATTATTTTGTAGACACCATATAAAAAAGAGGCTTTGATTATCTAGAACAGGGGTGAGAAACGATGGCCCCTTTATGACTTGTGGACTTCAACTCCCAGAATTCCTAAATCTGGCTCAGGAATTCTGGGAGTTGAAGTCCACAAGTCATAAAGGGGTCCACAGTGCCCTATCTCTACTATAGAATTAAGTGCAGTTCAGAATTAAAATACATCGGCCAGTGCTATGAAACAATAATCTAAAAGGGAGAGCAGGAGGGCAAATGGTTAAAATATCTGAAACCAAAAACCAGCCTATGAAAGTGAACAGGAGAAATAGATCATGCCAGCTCAGAAATGAATAATATGAATTAACTATAATCGTACAAAAGCGCTGTTAATCCCTGAAGTAAAACTATTAAAATGCCGCACACACAAAATAGTATTTCTAAATGTCACATATCCTAAGGCTGAAGCTTGGCGTGACACTTGAGGGTCCTGAGATAGATAGTGAGTGGTTTGCAAGCTGTGGTCGAAAAAAAGTCAACATGGCTGACATTCTAAGTGCACTTAAAAAATGGGTGGAGCTTCGACTACATCGTCACACCGGCCATCTTGACTATTTTGACCATCCTGCACACACCCCTGGAGAGACAGATAAAAATTGAAAATTTAATTGTACACAGGCAAAACTCTTATTATTGATTAGTGTCCCCTTAAATGACTTCATCATAAAGACAAAAAGCACGCACACCCCTCCAGACATATGGCAACAGTGGCCAAACACACCAAAATTAATGTTTTACGTTCAACTTTCTAATGTAATTACCATCTCCACCCAAAGATTGCAGGGACTTTATTATTCACGGCCTAGTACCATGATGGCAAACCTATGGCACGCGTGCCACAGGTGGCACGCGGAGCCATATAAGTGGGCACACAAGCATTGCCCTAGTTCAGCTGCACGGTGCATGTGCGCGCCAGCCAGCTGATTTTCAGGCCTTCTGGGCCCACCGGAAGTCGGGAAACAGACTGTTTCTGGCCTCTGGAGGGTGAGGAAGGCCTGCTTCTCACTCTCCCCAGGCTCCAGAAGCTGGGGAGGGCGGAAACGGCCTTCCCCACTCCACCAGAGGCCCTCTGGAGGCTGGAAATGGCCGGTTAGCCAACTTCCGGAGCCTCTGGAGCCTGGGGAGGGCGAAAAACGGGCCTACTGAGCCCACCATGCCATCGCGTGCCAAAAGCAGGGGGAGCACGGGGGGGGGCATGTGTGCATGTGCAAGGGGGTGGGGCGCATTGAATTATGGGTGGGCACACACCCACACGACCCCACCTGTGCGACCCCCGCCTTTGGCACCCAATGGCAAAAAGATTAGCCATCACTGGCATAGTATGTGTAGAAGGGTTCAGGTAGTCCTCGACTTATAACCATTTGTTTAGTGACTGTTCAAAGTTATAACAAAGTTATAATAGAGCCTTGGTAGTACAGTGGTTTAATGCACCCTGTTATTAACACAGCTGCCTGCAATTTCTTCAGGTTCGAATCTTACCAGGCTCAAGGTTGACTCAGCCTTCCATCCTTTCCAAGGTAGGTTAAATGAGGACCCAGTTTGTGGGGGCAATAAGCTGACTTTGTATAAATATACAAAAGTATGAAGGCTATTGCTTAGCGCATTGTAAGCCGCCCTGAGTCTCCGGAGAAGGGCGGCATATAAATCAAATTAAAAAAAAAAAAAAACAGCACTGAAAAAAGTGACTTGATTTTTTTCACATTTTTCACATTTATGGCCATTGCAGCATCCCCGTGGTCACATGATCAAAATTCAGATGCTTGGCAACTGGCATGTTACTTATAATGGCTGCATTGTCCTGGGGTCATGTGATCCCCATTGGCGGCCTTCCGAAAAACAAAGTCAAAAGGGAAGCGACATTCACTTAACCACTGTGTTACTAACTTAAAAAACTCCAGTGATTCAGTTAACAACTGTGGCAAAAAAGGTTGTAAAATGGGGCAAAAACAACTCTTTTGCTTAGCAACAGAAATTCTGGGGTCAATTGTGGTCATAAATTGAAGACTACCTGTAGTCCACATGTAACTGTAGCAATCCTAGACAGAGACATGAGGTTTGAATGTGTTTGAGGATGGGGATGAATGAAAAAAAAAATTTTTTTTCTCTTGCTCCAAATATGGGCTGGATCCAAATTTGATGATGCTCAAATACTTCTGAAATTAAAGGGATCCAACAATTAAGCATGATTTCAGCAGGACCACAATCCATACTACCAATGGTGTTAGTAGAAGCCACAGCGACACTATTACCTGCCATGTCATCATTATAGGAATAGCACTTAAGACTTATACACCGCTTCACAGTATTCTTTTTAAGCGGTTTGCAGAGACAACAATGTGGGTCCACATTTTACCGACCTTGGAAGGATGGAAGGTTGAGTCAACCTTGAGCTGCTGAGAAATCAAACTGCTGGCAGCCAGCAGAATTAGCCTGCAGTACTGCATTCTAACCACTGCGCCACCACAGCTCACAGCTCTTCATCATTATCCAAACTCATTGTTTGCATCATTTGCGATATGATGTCATATTCGCAACCCTCGTTTTGTGGAAACCCATGGGTTCCAGGCACAGCTGAAAGTCAAAGTATATGGGATTCAACATGCCGATTTAAATTATGGCCATCTTGTCCCCCTGCTTTGAAAATGGGACAGGGAGAATTGGCTGCTTGTAACATTTATGCAGGCTACGTTTGCACATACAATAACTCTTAAGCCATAAACCCTGATTTACCTACACAAGAACAGAGCATATGGAGTTGGGAGGGACCTTGGAGGTCTTCGAGCCCAACCCTCTGCTCAGGCAGGAAAAACTGTACCATTTCAGACTAAAGGTTGTCCAATCTCTTCTTTAAAAATTCCAGCGTTGGAGCATTCACAACTTCTGCAGGCAAGTTGTTCCACTGATTTAATAGTTCTAAAAGTTCGTACCCTGCATTAGGCTTTAATAAAACAAACCGTGATTGGTTTAGCATTGCTTATAAACACTATCAACTGGGCTTCATGGCTTGGTATTATGTGTGAACGATCCCACTAAGACTTGGTCGAGAAATCAAGGTTAAAGTAAACCATGATTTATGGCACTAGGTGAAATGTGAGGTCACATAGGCAAGGCGCCTGGTAGATGCTGGCAAATATGTACACTGGTAGATGAGGAGGCACGTGTGTATGTGTGTTTTGATTACCCTTTTCGGAAACAAGAAACTAGAACAGGTCCTATGCCGGTTCTGTAACACAGGATGATGGTTTTTGTGGTCCTTCCTTCACAAGAACCCATAGGCAACATGCTCGTAGGAGAAAGTATTTGGTGCTTCTCCTCCCAATGGGTTTAAAAGTGTTCACGTGAAGTTTTTCTTGGTCCCTTGGTTCTGCCAAAATGAAAAAGACAGCAGTGAAAAAATAAAGATAACGGGATATGGATTAATATCCCAGGAACAGTGGCGTCTTCTGGTAGGTCCTTTGTAAACCCACCCACCCCCAACATAGGACAGGGGCTATTCCAGAGGATTTTTAAAAGTTGGGCTAAAGCCAAGCTTCTCAGGAATGTGGGGTTAAAAACCTGGGGGGGGGGGGGGGTTTGGCTACAGGGTGAAAAGTCAAGGAAAAGCTACTGGGACTCCCACCCTTCCAGCAGCCCCCCCTCCCCCACCCCCCATATTCCGGGATTTATGAAGCTTCAACCTTTCATCGTAGCATCATGGGAGCAACAGAGATTTGGCCAGCCGGGTCCAGAACCATTTCTTGGTAGCTGGGTTTGTGTAGTCACAGACGGTGATGAACCTTAAGATGCTCGGGAAATCCTGATTCATGCTTTTGCATTTAACTGGAATCAGGCGCTTGAGACGGGCACCTGCAGAAGGAAGCCGAGATAGGAGAGTGAATTAACCAGACATGAACTGTGGTGGCAAGCAAGTGGTGGCCCTGGTGGCACCAGGGCCACCACTCTTCCCTGACTGATGTTCTGAGCCACCTAGCCCATCCCACGGCAGTCCCATACAGGTCGTCCTCGACTTACAGCCATTCGTTTATAGTGACTGTTCAAAGGTACAACGGCACTGAAAAAAGGGACATGACTGTTTTTCACAATTATGGCTATTGCTGCATCCCCATGGTCACGTGATCAAAATTCAGAAGCTTGGCAACTGGCAGGTATTTATGATGGTTGCTGTTCTGGCCCGTACGCAGCCTGTGCAGCTAGTAGCCGATTCAGACAGCGAGGAGGCTGGTGTGGTGCTGCGCCAGCAGCCTGTGCAGCTGGCGCTCGAGTCGGACAATGAGGAGGCTGGAGAAGATGTGGTGCCAGAGGCGGGGATTCAGCCAGGGCCTTCACAACCTCCAGAAGCTCCCATAAGTGAAGAGGAAGAAGAGGAGCCTCTTCTCAATGCACGGGGGCGCACAGAGCTGCCAAAAGGCAGGAGTGGCTCCTCAGGAGGAGGTCTCCTCGAGAGTAAGGCTTGGGGCTAATTGGCCACTCCCTCAGCTTATTTAAGGAGGAACACCGACTGAAGCAATTTGCAGGGAACAACTTTGTTCACTCTCTTTCCTGTCTTGTCTTGCTTATCTTATCAGCTTCCTGCAAATTGCTTCTGGGCATTCTGCCAACCCTAGGAAGCTTTCACTTATTATTCTTTGAATTCCTGGTGGCTATTAATGCAATTAATTAACAGCCATTGTTGTAAAAGACTGGTTTATTTAGTAAACTAAGGTTTGAACGGACTTTGTGTGTTCTGTGTTCTTTGGGGTACGTATCAGGAACAGAACAGTTGCCGCGTCCCACCGGTGTGTGTGTGTGTGTGTGTGTGTGTGTGTGTGTGTGTGTGTGTGTGACATGATCCCCTTTTGCAACTTTCTGCCAAGCAAAAGTCAACAGGGCAGTCAGAGTTACTGAACAATCGTGTTACTAACTTAACATCGGCAGTGACTCACTTAACTGTGGCAAGAACAACTGTCTTGCTTAGAAATGGAAATGTTGGGGTGAACTGTAGTTTGTAAGTCGAGGACTATTTGAAAGTCTGCAAGGCAGCGTGGCCTGATTGAAGTTGCCATGGATATTGTTCCCACAGTGATCAGTCTCTTACCTGGGGAAAGACTGAGAGCAAACTTGGTCTGGAAGTCACACTCCTCACTGTCAAGATAGTCATCCGAGATGACCACCACCATCTTCCGACACCTGTAGTTGCACACAGAACGGGGAACACATTGGGGATGAGTTTCTTTCCCCACCTGGTTCGGCACAGCAACCGAACAGGACAAGTACAGACTTCAACGGATAGTTAGAACTGCAGAAAAGACAATTGCAGCCAGCCTGCCTTCCATTGAGGACCTGTATACTGCAAAGGTCAGGAAGAGGGCTGAGAAAATATCTACAGACCCTTCACATCAGTGGTGGGTTTCAATTTTTTTTACTGGGCGTGGCTGTGGGCGTGGCAGGGGAAGGACACTGTAAAACCTCCATTCCCACCCCAATCCAGGGGAAGGATACTGCAAAATCCCCATTCCCTCCCAATCAGCTGGGACTTGGGAGGCAGAGAATAGATGGGGGAGGGGCCAGACAGAATTTTTACTACCGGTTCTCCAAACTACTCAAAATTTCTGATCATAGTCCAGTATGGATAGAAATCGAGACTGCAAAAATTGAGAGAAGATCATGGAGACTAAATGAAAATCTGTTTAGATATGAAAAAAATATAATTGAACTTAAGAAGCAGATGAAAGAATTTTTTGATATTAATTTGAACAAGGGTACCCCTATTGAAATTGTGTGGGACGCGAGCAAAGCATATATGAGAGGGGTACTCATTCATATGAACTCTAAATATAAACTGAATAGACAAAAGAAAAGATCTGAAATTGAAGTAGAAATAAAGAAAAAAGAACAGTTACTTATTAAAAATCCAACAGATGAAAGAACACGTAGTGCTATAAAACTTTTGAAAGACCAATTCCAAATGCTTATGGCGGACCAAGTTGCAACAAATTTACAATATGCAAAGCATAATACATTTTGTAATGCCAATAAACCGGGCAGATGGCTGGCTTATACTTTAAGGAAGAAGCAGAGTATGCGGACCATCGACTGTATTGATATTGGAGGGACAGAAATTTATCAACAAAAATTAATTAAAGAAGTTTTTGTAGATTACTATACTAAACTATATGCTAAAGAAGACATACAGAATGGACTTATAGAAAAATATCTAGAAAATAAAAGAGTTACAAAAGTTACTAATCAACAAAAGGAAAGACTGAATCATCCTATAACAGCTGAGGAGATAATTGCAGCAATAAAACAACTGAAAACTGCCAAAGCTCCGGGAACAGATGGCTTGACTGCAGTGTATTATAAAACTTTGCAAGCAGAAATGGTGGAACAACTTAGAGACTTATTTTGTAATATACAACGAGGGGGTAAAATACCCCCATCATGGAAAACAGCTTATATCTCTTTGATACCAAAAGAGCAAGCAGGTCCTAAAAAACCGGAAAATTATAGGCCAATATCTCTTCTGAATAATGACTACAAAATTTATGTAAAAGTATTAGCCAACAGGTTGATGCCAGTAATTAAAGAGGTGATTCATGATGATCAAGCGGGATTTATAGAGGGTAGATATATGAAGGACAATGTAAGGCAAGTGATAGATTTATTGGAATATCTTGAGAAGAATAAACAGATCCCTGCAGTGCTGGCTTTTTTGGATGCGGAGAAAGCCTTTGATAGAGTGGATTGGAATTTTCTATTAAAGACTTTGGAAAAAATGGACTTTGGGGATCAATTTATATTGGCGGTTTCAGCAATTTACCAAGAGCAAAAGGCACAGATTATTATTAATGGAAGTTTGACAATAGACTTTAAAATTGAAAAAGGTACAAGACAAGGCTGTCCATTATCCCCTTTGCTATTTATTTTAACATTAGAAGTCTTGTTGAATATAATAAGAGATTCAACCAGCTTGAAAGGTATAGTGATAAGGCAAGAAGATTACAGAATAAGGGCATTTGCAGATGATCTGGTTGTTACCCTAACACAGCCGGTGGAATCAATAATCCTGATGAAAGACATTATAAAAGATTATGGTACAGTATCAGGATTTAGACTGAACCAGAAAAAAACTAAGATGATAGTCAAAAATATGACACAAGACCAAAAACATGAACTTGAAAAGAGGGCAGGTTTTGAGATTGTCTCAAAGGTTAAATATTTAGGAGTTCAGGTTGCAGAATCTAATATGAAACTGATTCAAAATAATTATGAGGTGTTGTGGCGAGAGGTACAAAAAGACATGGAGACATGGAAAAAACTGCAGCTTTCTTTACTTGGAAGAATAGCAGCAGTGAAGATGAACATTTTGCCAAGATTTCTTTTTTTGTTCCAAATGATTCCGGTGCTTAAAAGTGATAAACAATTGAAAGAGTGGCAAACTGGAGTGAATAAATTTGTCTGGAACGAGAAAAAACCGAGAGTGAAATTGAAAATTATGCAAGATGTTCCGGAAAGGGGAGGTCTTAAACTTCCAAACCTACAGTTATATTATGAAGCAGCAGCTTTGACTCAAGCAAGCGATTGGTTTGGAAGGAAAAAGACTGGAATATTGAATATAGAAAGTTTTGATCTCGAATTTGGTTGGCACGCTTACTTGTTTTATGAAAACAAAGTGGATAAAATATTTAAAAGTCATATACTTAGAGATTCTCTGATGAGAGTATGGAAGAAGCACCGAATCAAATGGGATTATAAAATACCGTTGTGGCTGGATCTTGGTCATATTATTTGGAATACAAATATAATGTCACTCGGAGGGTTTTTATATAAAGAGGTTCTTTTTACAGATATGGGCAGATGGCAACTGAAGACATTAGAGACACTGTTGGGCGAAGGGATTAACTTAACCAAACCGGTATTTTTGACGATCAGCTGTGCCGCACAATGTATATTCGCTAGAAAGCAGGAAATCCTGCTTTCTAGCGAATCTAAATCGTGCGGCACAGCTGTTCCCCCTCTCACTGTTCTACTTACCTTCAAATGGCTTTTTCCATGCAAAGCGCATTTGGTGTGTATTGTGCATGTGCGCATGTGCGTTTGGTGTGCACTGTGCATGTGCAGCATGCGCTTGATGTGCATTGTGCATGCAGCATGCGTTTGGTGCACACTGCATTTACGGGCAGCGAACCGGTAGCAACCCGTGGAGGATTTCACCACTGGTTTGTAACCAGAGCAGAATACCAGCAAATAGCCGGTCGACTTCCAGTGCAGCAGTCAGGGCGAAAGGATCGGTGCTGCGTTAGCTCCGCAGGACCGAGCGATTTTCCAGACCTCCGCAGCGTTTTTTTTGCCGTTCTCAGCCCTGGAGAGGTTGGGAGAGCAGAGGGGCTTGCTTCGGAGGCGAGGAGGGGGAGTGCGACCCCTCGCCGCAACGAAGCGTGAGCTCCGAGGATCCGGAGGACAGGAAGAAGGCCGCAAAACAGCGGCCCCTAAATATTGGAAAATGAAGCTTTACCCACTATCGAAGAATGGACTTTGAAGATGCCAGTTTTGCGGAGATGGCGAAGATTTCAGCATATTTAAAAGATCGCTACAAGAGACTTATGAATGGGAATGGAAAAAATGGATAGGTTATGTGCAGAATAAATACCAAGTTAGGAAGTATCAAATAGCTTTTCATTGAAAGTATTATATAAAAATAGAAATGTATGAATTGTGAAGAGAAAAAAATTATAAGGGGGTTTGGGGGGTTCAAGTTTTATAAAAAGGGGATTTTGATGGGATTATTTTTGTGGAAGTCAGGGGGAAGGGTTAGGGGGGGTTTGGGGGGGTTAGGGTGGGGTGTGGGGGTGGGATGGGGGGGGGAAATGGGGTGAAAATGTAATTGTAAAACTTTTGCAATAAAAATTTCTGATACCGGTTCTCCAGAACTGGTCAGAACCTGCTGAAACCCACCTCTGCCTCACATCCTAGACATAAACCAGGGGTGAAATCCACTTACCTTCGCTACCGGTTCGCAAATGTGAGCGTGCGTGCGTGCCCCTTCTGCGTATGCGCAGAGAGTCAAAAAGGGGACGTGATGATGTCTGGGCAGGTGGGCGGAGCCTCCCACCACGGCGTTATAAGTTCGCCTGAGCCGGATAGTACCAGCTGAATTTCACCACTGATATAAACTGTTTCAACTTCTTGCCTGTCAAAACAACTACCGTATTTTTCAGCGTTTAAGACGACTTTTAACACATGAAAATCTTCTCAAAAGTCGGGGGTCTTCTTATATGCCGGGTGTTGTTCTCCTGTAACCAGGCAGACCAGCCCGAAAGGCTGTGACGAGCCAAGCTCTGACCATCCCAGGTGAGTTGCCTACTAATCAGGCAACTCAGCTGGGATTGCCAGAGCCATGTAAAAGGAAAAAAGTTTTCCCCCTCCAGCTTGCTTACCTTAGCTGCTTGCCTTGCTTCGCTTGCCTGCAATCCATTCCATCAGCAAGCAACTCCCTGCCTGCAATCAAGCAGGCAGGGAGTTGTGGACTTCAACTCCCAGAATTCGTCAGCCAGCAAAGCAAAGCTGGCTGAGGAATTCTGGGAGTTGAAGTCTACAAGTCTTAAAGTTGCCAAGGTTGGAGACCCCTGTTCTATTGGGTAAGTTTTTTCCTCTTTGGGAGCTTTAAAAAAATAGTTAATTGGGGTTTTTTTAGTTGTTCCTTTTTAGACCTAGCCATTTAAAGTTTAGGAAGTTTTAAATTTAGCTTTCATATAAAAATTAAAATAAAAAAAATAATATTTGTGCAGCTTTCTGAGATTTAGTGTGTTTCTGTAGTGTTTCACTCTAACTACACAAACACACAAAATCTCACAAAGCTGTATGTGGAATTTGTGTGTGTAAAGTGTGAAAGTTGTTTTTTTTGGGCTTTTTGTGGCTGTGTGAGATTCTGCTTGTTGCAGGGGCCATATTGGGTCTAGCACAGCTGCTTTTACATTGTGGGTGAGCCAGTTGATGTTTTTTAATTTTTATTTGGTGTGCATTGGAAGAGAGGTAGTCTTATACGGTGAGTCGGGGGTCGTCTTATACGCCCAGTCGTCATATACGCCGGAAAATACGGTAGACACAAAGACAGTTCCCCCCCCCCCCCATGCCATCAGTCTGCTAAACAACTAATTCCCACACCACTATCTTATACCCAAGGATAT